TACTCTTTTGCTCTGCATGCCTATTCAAAGGAAACTAAAGGCATCAGTTGGGGGGGGGGGAAAGCCTTCCTATTTAGAATATGACTAGACTTAATAAAGTTGATTTCTAAACATGAATCTATAAATTGGAGGTTTCATTATGGAGGATTAGAGAATAAATTTGCCACACAAATGGAGCGGTTATTTCAACCTTTTCCTTTCTGGCCTATATAAAACCATCTGTGGAGGTACTTCTAACTTCTGTATATTGTTGCAATAAATTGCTATTGTGGTGTGCAATCTTATAGGAGCCCATTCAGATGTGAGTCCAATTGAGTTAAATGAGGCTTGTTCCCAGGTAATAGAACTGCATTCCTGTTAGACAAAATTAAACAATGCAAGCAGAGTCAGACACTGCTGACTGCATTTGGAGCAGCTTCTGAAAAAAAGACACATATTTCTCCACCTCCATCTTCCTTAGTTTTTACTATTATCCTATAAAATACAAACAAAATATCATTCAATAAATGCATTTCAGATGTGTGCCACATGTTGCCTGCATCAAAGATCACTAGGCTTACTTACAAATTGCTCTATTTTGCTCTGAGCCATTGCTCAAAGAAGGAGCAATACCCAAGATCCTAATTCAAAATGGCAATGTAAGCTAAAGAGGGCAGCGTACACTCCAAGACAACCTGGTCTAAGAGGGAAGAGTGTCTCACTATAGCCTTGACAGAATGATTGTGACTCACCTTACATTGGCATGGAAAATCTAGAACATAGGCTATATGGTAGGACATTAATTCCAAAATTCAGCCTCCACTTCCAAAGGTTAGAAAACAGCCAATTAACGTTGGACCTAACTGAAAATCAACCGGTTCTATGACATTCTAAAAGATCATGACAAATTAACAAATGGTTGCAAAGTTTTTTTTTAACTTTCCTTTCTTTTTACTTGTTAATACATTTCAAAGAGAATAAAGTTTGCCAGACTTTGGAGAGTATAACCAGGGGTGAAATCCAGCAGGTTCTGACAGGTTCTGGAGAACCAGTAGCGGAAATTTTGAGTAATTTGGAAAACTGGCAAATACCACCTCTGGCTGGCCCCAGAGGGGGGTGGGAATGGAGATTTTTCAATATCCTTCCCCTGCCACACTCACCAAGCCACAGCCACAGAACCAGTAGTAAAAAACTTTGGATTTCACCACTGAGCATAACTATTGTAGTTTTTTATATAATTAGGAAAAGTCTACCAGCACAGTTTCCCCTTTCTTATAGTGTGACAAATTTGCAGGAATTTTATGCCATTACTGTAAATTTATCAACTTTCAAACAAATACATTGCATCTCTCTCTCCTTCTCCCTCTGTGTGTGTATGTGTGTGTGAGAGAGAGTGGGGGGGGAGTGCAAAGGTTTTTACTGGGAGAGAGGGAGGGAGGGAGGGAGGGAGGGGAGAGAGAGAGAGAGAGAGAGAGAGAGAGAGAGAGAGAGAGAGAGAGAGAGAGAGAGAGAGAGCGCCAAAAAGTCTTTACAGCTAGAATGGAAAACAAAAGCACAGCTGGATATTCAGGTGGCAGCCTTTGCTTGGTTTGATGAGGTCAAGCTTGGCCGCACGGATAAGTATCCTTGTTACTGTATGTAAATTAGATTTTAGAAATATAATTGTCCAGAATACCTTAGCAACTATGGTTGGTGGGCCCTTGCTTAGCAGCTTTACCTGGCTGATAAAAGTCTATAATCATTATCAGCTCTTAGTGATAAGTAGCTCCATTCCAAACTACAGGTAGTCCTTGACTTACAACAGTTCATTTAGTGACCATTTGAAGTTACAATGGCACTGAAAAACATATGACCATTTTTCACACTTATGACTGTGGCAGCATCCCCGTGGTCACATGATTTACATTTCGATGCTTGACAACTGGTTCATATTTATTGCAACCTTCTGACAAGCAAAGTCAATGGGGAAGCCAGATTCACTTAATAACTATGTTACTAATTTAACAACTTCAGTGATTCACTTAATAAATGTGGTGGAAAAAGACGTAAAATGGGCAAAACCATTCTGGCTTGTTTAACAAACCATAGCTAAAACAAACCTGGCTTACTCAAAGGGTTCAAATGAAAAATAGGAGGATTGTCGGCTTTTGTTTGGTTAGGAAAAACTTCCGGTATTCACCACTACGATAGCACACTGTCTTAGAAGATCATTGGCGCTTCTGTATTACGAGTTTTTAAACAGAAGCTGAATGACCAATCATCAAGTGTATTTTAGCACTTGGGGGATGACTGAGGGTTGGAGTAGATGAGCTTTAAGACATATTCCAACTCTACCAGTTTTGAATTTTTTACACCCATCACTTGAAAAACTCTTGGACATAGTTCAGGCTCAGGGATTCATCTAAAGGAGACACTATTTCTGCTCCTACAGTCCTTATCTGTGAATAAAAGTGTTTTTCCTGGAGAACCAAAAGTATAAGGGAGTAAGACCTAATAACATGTATTAGCAGTCTCTGATATTAATAGCACAGATTGTCACATGATGCGACAGTGATTCAAGTGGGCATGGATGGAGGTCCCCTTTCTCCTGGGAGTCTCTGTTCCCCCCTGCAAACAGAAAATAAACACAGCCCTTCCAGAAGCGTAAATGCCAATAACTGTGAAATTTTGATTAAATAATAGATATGTGTTCTGAAGCACTTCTTTATAGCATGTGATTAAGAAAGATAACTAGACATCCTTACAGCTATAATGATAATAATTACTACAACACATAAAGTGTAGAATATGACATTGGAAAGGCCATTATTAACCTTTCCAAGGGTTATTTTTTTTTTTCTTGGTGTGTTTTTTGACATTACAGACAGCAGCTTCAAGAGAGCTAAATGCAACTTATGGCCATGGAATTTTTTTTTTTTTTAAATCATAGCGTCCTCTTTAATACTTTATGGGCAAAAGATGAACCTTCCCTTTCAAGCAGATGTTTGTTTAAGATCTGACATCTGGGTAGTTCTTATAAAGCATTCTTTTTATTAAGATTTCTGCAACTGCTAGTAATTAAGAGAACTGACACAATTCTTCCTTCTGTTTAAATGTTAGCTCTGAAAAAAATGTTGTGCCCCAGATGCAGGCCTTTTGAACTTACAGCAAGAGGTATTTCAGTTTAATATGATTAATATAGTTATCAGAGTGTGTGTGCGTATTTATAAACCTATGAATAATAATCGGAACACTAGCTGCAATGGCACTTCTTTGGCTAACATTTAGAGTATAGATTGGAAAGAGAGAGAAATAGTACTTCCTCCTGTACAAAAGATAGTCTTCTGCTTGAAAAACTGTACTGTCTCTGAAAGAAACATTGGAAGCAATAGCAGGACTCATCCATTTGGTAATGGGGACAGCAGGGCAAAAAAATTCCTCCTAACATCTGGTCACAGACTTACAGTACTCATTTTAGTGTATTGTTCATTATGGGTTCTACTTAATTTACAGCATTAACTTCTAAATTTGTATTTTTACTGTACATATTCCCGAATACAAACATTATGCCTTTCCTCTTTTCATGCCAAGAATTACCCTTTAAATAAATGTGTGCATGTCCATCATATGTCACAGTGAAGATTAGCTTTTGGAATTTGGACGATATGGCATGACACAAAGGGGCAGCCGGAATGGATTTTTATGTCCTGAAAAAAAGATGCTGTTGACAAAATAGCTGTGGCCATGTACGTTATCAACAGGACTCAGAAGAAACAAGGTACAAGCAGAAAATCCAATTAATGAAAATATCAGTAGTTATAACATCACTTGTCTGGGCTCCAGAAGAGGCACAAATTATTCCCAAATCTCCTAAGCATATGTCATTTTGCCCCAAGTGTTATCTTGTGTAAGCAACCTTGGCCTCAGCCTCTGGAGACCACAATTTGGTTGTTTGCTTCTAAGGGGCAGTAAGTTTTCCTCACATTCAGTATAGCCAATGTTATGGAGGAAAAACCTCCTCCTTAGCCACAAATTACACACTAGTACAAAGAGTTGGTCATGAAAACAGTAAAGCATCATTCTCTGATATTAGCAGCTGAAAATTTAACATAAGATGTGCAGAAAAGACACAAATTGTAGGTCAAGTCTATGTGCAATGTCCTCTTGTAAGTAACAAAAGAAAATCAAATAATGCAAGAGGCCAAGAAGAGTGCTTTTAACAGTCTCTAATTAAGGCAAATTGAAGCCAACCCAAGAAAGTCAAGGTTTCTTCAACAATATATTATTGAAAACATAATTAGCTGCAGGCACCCAGAAACGCTTTGTGAAAAATCAAAGCCACAACCTGAAGTAAATTTTCAAATTACCAATTCATTAATACCAGGGAAGGTCTGTATGGCTAGAAGGCACTGTGCTAGGGGAGGGAAGAAGGCATACCAAAAGATTGCGACCGAGTTGGGCCAAAATATAAATGATGAATAATCACACAACTAGCATTTGGCAGACTGCTGCATTCTGTAACCTTGTTCTTGGCTTACATACAGAGCAGGGTGAGATTTACTAGGATGTATCAGCATGGAAAGGTTATTGTGCTTACACCTAATCCCGAAAACCACACTCTGCTCCCGGATGCTTTCATTTGCAAGAATCCAGTTTAGGGCAGTTTGCTCTTGGCTAGGGGCCAAATACTAGAGGCAAGGATAAGAGAAAGACGCCCCCTTCCCCTGTTGTGATACAGACTGACCATCCCAGCCAGGAAAGGCTGGGATGGTACATGTCAAGGCTCTTTGTCATAGTCTCTGAAGAAATAGGACATACAGTATACTGAACGTGGCAAGATGTAACGCATCTCTGGATTCCCCCAGTGTGGCTTTGGTCCCATTCATCGGTAAAACAGATCCCATTCTGCCACCTTGAGGTTCAATAGCAGATTGATTCACAGTAGAATCTTAGGACTGGGAAAGATTCTAAGAAGTTATCTTATCCAATCATTGCTTGTGTTCTTTTTCTTTAACCCAAGCAGAGCCCACAGAACTCAAGTCAGAATTAGCAATTGAAATATATGACATAGAGGCAAAGAAAGCATTAAGCAGATCAGATAACAGAAGATTCTTGCCTTATATCCTGCAAGTAGGGTGAATGAAGAAGTCTGTATTATTCCACTGCTAGTTCTCCACATGCTGAATTTTTCTCAAGTTCCAGTTTGGAAGGCTGTTAGGTGACGAGGAGAAAAACAGGATGCAGAAGGAAGGTTAAAAGAAAAGGCCAATTTGCAAGAACTATCAAAGAGTCATTGCACTTTTGAAAACCATTATTATTTATATCCAGGGGAGCATACTTTTGGGCTAAAAGCTGCACTTCTGAGTGAGGCAAAGTTTTGATTTGAAAACCCTCAAATATGACAACACTTCTCATGTAAGTGTTTATGTAAAATAACACAGTCCATTTATTGTATGTGCAATACTGGATGGCATACCTCTTTCAATGGTACAATGTGGTCTGCTATTGTCAGGTAGATGACAATCACAATACTTGAAGAGCTCCAAGCAGGCAATAAAAAGAGCAGGTTCAAATGGCCACCAAATGGACTATGTTAAGACTCAGTTGACATACAGCCTGATGGCCTGTCGTTAAAGAGGCCATAAGTAAGAAGAGCTTTGAACATTCAAAAGTACCATACAAATGTTAAGGGTTGATTTTGATACTATCAGAACTAATTAGTATTACTAATTTGCTAATATTAATTAGTAGTTTTATATAGGACCTATGTAAAAGTGTCAATTAATATTTTTTCCCCATTATTTGACAAGTATGAAGAGTCACTTCGGATAGTGAAATAGACAATACAAATTTTATACTAGGACCTCTAGGATCTCTTGGGAAATGTTGCTTCACAAGACTAGTGCAGCCACAGAGAAAACACAACTCCAGCATGCAACAACCTGGTAGTGTTTGATGGAGGGGACCTGAAGCATGTCCTCTCTATTGGATGTACTAGGGCTGTCAGAAGCAATGGGGGACAGACAGTCAGTTCCACAAATAGCCTGGTCTTATGCCATGTACAGATTTGTAGATGATAACCAACACCTGAAATTTGATTCAAAAGCCTATTGGAAGTCAGAGCAGCTCATGGAATTCTGGTGTTATATGAATACAGAGGGGCCAAAAAACTGCCTGCACGGCTGCTTTCTGTGAGAGAACCACTGTGGCACAGTGGTTAGAATGCAGTATTGCAGGCTATTTCTGCTGACTGCCAGCTGCCAGAAGTTTGGCAGTTCGAATCTCACCAGCTCAAGGTTGATTCAGCCTTTATTCCTTCCAAGGTTGGTAAAATGAGGACTCAGATTGTTGGGAACAATATGCTGACACTGTAAACTGCTTAGAGAGGGCTGTAAAGCACTGTGAAGTGGTATATAAGTTTAAGTGCTATTGCTATTGCTATTTCTGAACCAGCTGACAGTTGTCAGAAATTTGAACTGAACACTTTCCAAGGAAAGGCATGATCTGTAGGGGCCCAACCGAGTTCCAAATATATATTAAACAGGAGGGGAGCTAGAATAGATCCCTGTCTCGCTCTCCTATAAATTTCTTTGGTACAGTGTCCATGGGCATTGTATCTGACCTTGATCTGGGAATTTTTATGTAACTTATATACAGTATAAATAACAGTAGCTTTTGTCCATTGAGGAAGAGTTCAATTTCTCCCATAGTTTGGATCTGGGGATGGAATCAAACAGACCTAAGGTCAATGAACGTTGTGTAAAGTGATTAGCACACTCACAAAAAGTATTTCTCAATATAGGGGATACCCTGTTTCCCCCAAAATAAGCCCTGATAATAAGCCCAATCGGGCTTTTGAGTGCATGGCAATAAGGCCAAGGACTTATTTCAGGGTTCAAAAAAATATAAGACAGGCTCTTATTTTCAGGGAAATACAGTAAATAGAAAGGTCCATGTAGTTAATAAGGCAAAACTATAATATTGCAATACTATAGTTGTTATACTATAGTATTATACTATAATATAGTATAGTATTATATTATATTATAATAAAACAGTATTAACTTGATATCAGACTGAATACAGCTTTGTTCCATGAATGAAAAGAAATTGTGTTTAAAGAAAAGTCCATTCCATGAGATTAATTTTCTTTCTGAATAGACAGTTCTGTGTATGGTCTGAAGCAAACCACATAGGTTCCAGTCATCCACAAACCATCCAACCAAATCCTGATTTCTGCATTCGGCATTCAGCATTTTACCATCATTAGGTTTCCCCAGAGCTGAACAGGGCTGATGCAGACGAATGTAAAGCAGTGATGGGAAAACCATCAAATGAAAGAACATCCAGATGTGTTAATTGTGGAAGAAGAAATTACAAAACTCTCTTTCTTTCTCCTAGGTCCTTGAAAGATAAGAAGACTTCAAATGGTATAAACCTCCAGATTTCCTCCATCAGGAAAACTGATAATTTCCATGCCGGAAGCAATTATTGTTTTTAAAAAAGGAGCAGCAACAGCAGAAGTCAATTCTTCTAGGAGAAGGCAAAGTCTTGCAGGGATGACTAAGTTGCATCCATTCTCCCAGAGGTATAATGTATACAAATCAAATCAAAATATAAATCATTCCTCCCTGTTGTGGGGTTTATGCACAGTGTCTTTTAATAAAACATGCAAATATTTTGCAGTAAATTGATTTCCCAGTTTCAGTTCTCTTATCTCCATATTTATTATTCATGATCTTTTTACTCCCTTACTTGAACAGACGGGGAAAAAATGAGGTGTGGATGGGAGTGGGAGAAGAATTCTGTGTAGAGTTCACTTAGCTTTTAGGAACTGGTTTTATTATTGTTATTATTAGCACAAATTCGTACTCCTAGGAATAAAAGATAAATGTAGACATTACTTCTAATTTCAACCAAAGCTAAGAGGTAATACAATGACACCCTCTTTTCATGCAAATCATTGCAATACGTGGCTTTGTAGCCAGTGCACTCAGCTGCTTGGCAAATTGCAATGGGAGTTTGAATCGCTGGGCAAAATGACTGTTGTTTAACCTGTGACCAGGCTGGATATTATTAGTGCTGTTGTTAAAGGTGTATATACATCAATGTTGCAGAGAGAGAAACAATCTATGAACCTGCAATTGTTATGGTAAGACCTTGGTGCTTTAAAAAAAAAAGTGTGTGTGCCAAATACTTAAGTATATTCTAACAGTTATTTTGCTTATCTGCTTTTGCACAGGGCTTAATGTGGATTCCCCTTAATTTGCATTGATTCAGGCCATTGATATACCCTGAAGACAACAGACCAAACTTGATTAACAATTATGAAGCTGGTAATTATGATTACTTATAGGACGTGATGCTTGGGTGCTTTGTAGCAAAATAATGTCACTAGAAAACGTTGACATATTTTTGAACAAGGAGAGGAAATACGCTGCTGTAGAGGAAGGAGACCCACAGCATTCCATTGCCCAGAAAGGAGGCCTCTAGAGCAGGGGTGTCAAACTCGATTTCATTGAGGGCTGCATCAGGGTTGTGTTTGACCTCGGGGGGAGGTGCAGGGGGGGCTTGGTTGGAATGGCCAGCTCGACATCACTTGTGTTGGGGGTGCCTGTGGTGGCCCAAGCACTCAGAGGCACCGCGGGCCGGTCCTTCACTGTTTCCAGGGCAGCCCTGCGGGTTGTATCTAAGCACCCTGTGGGCCGGATTTGGGCCCTGGGCCTTGAGTTTGACATCCCTGCTCTAGAGGAACCATAGGGCTGCATTTACCAAAACAATGGAGTTTACCATAGAAATAAGATGAGAATAATCCTTCTTTATAACCAGCCCTACTCAAAAATACAATCAACTGACTTTCTTCCTTTTTCTCAGCTATAATTCCAAAGCATGTCATTATAACTATTTGTACATTGGCTTTGCATGCTGACAAACCCCTCCCTTAAAAAAAAACCTTTAATCCCCAGTGAGCAGTTTTTGGTCAACGTAGAATAGCCTTTTCTAATCTTGGTGCCTCCTTAGACTTTGGTACCCATAATTCTCAGCCAACTGTGAATTTTTAGCACATCTGGAAGACAGCAATAGGGGAAGGCTGATGTAGATAATATCAAGCAAATTGGAATATTAAGTTGACTGCCCAATTCAGGCAAGTCTTTGCTCTAAAGGGAAAATGCTTTGACTATTATGAAGGACTGTGTGACAACAGTCCTTCTGTGGACTTATTGAGCATTGCCACACAATCGCACAAGAGGTGTTACAAACCATCATTGTTAAGAAAAGCATAGTGAACATGATTTTCTCTCATATTTCTAACTGGCAACCTAATCTAACGAAAAAAAATTAAGTTTATAAGAGGCCATAAATTGTGCTGCTGTAGCTACAGATCGATTCAGGGTCTGATTTTTTAAAAAAAGATATTCCACTTCCTCATTCTGGTTGTTTAGAAGAATCAAAATGACTTTGGACTGGTCTCTGTAGGTTTTAAGGATTTGTCAAATGTTGCTATACAGCGGATATAAAAGAAATCAGCCACAAATTTCACCGGGAATGAACTTCTGAAAACCTGACAAAATAGATTACATCTCATGGCATGGATGACAGCACTTAACCGAGTCTGTTAGCTTCATTCATTCCCTGGTCAAAAATCTGCACACACACACACACACACACACACACACACACACACACACACACACAAACATACACCTGTATTTGGGTAGAAAAAATAATCCAAGCTATATTGTTATTGCATACAAAAAAGAATCGTTTTTCAAGTTTGCATCTGAGAAATGTGTACTTTAGAAGCATGTGTCAAGGAAATTTTTAAAAATGACATCAGAGAAATTTGAATTAAAAAATTCTGTAAGTTAGGGAAAATTATAAGTAAAAGCACATAAATACAGGTGTGTGCATGTGTGTATATATACACACCCACACACATATATTCATATACGTAGAACATTTTAGTTAAATCCCCAGTAGATCAAAATGCCAGTAACAGCTTACTTTATACTGACTTGCACTTTCTTAGGTGTTAATTGACCATCATGTGAATCAAAATTGCTGCCATTTTAATGTACATCATAGTACTCGCATATAGTAAGTTATAACAATGGTTAAGAATAGCTACAGCAATAATCAGTCATGAAATGGAAGTAAATTTTGATTGAGGTCCTTACATTGGTGTTAGTCATCTTCCTAGATGTCCATTATAAGGATCAGAGGCCCTCATGCCACATTTGGCAAGTTTCCATCCATCCTGAATGCTTCTTAGAGATGATGTGTACAGAACACAAGAAAATCCCTTATTCATATGACCTTTACGTTCATGTATTGTTATGTCATGCTGTTATGACATAAACTGAACAATTTATCACACCAGTAAATCTACCTCTGAAATACCCGAGTTAAATGGCCCAAAGATTTAAATATAATTGGATGCAAATATCACATGCTGGAACAACTCTCTGATTGTCCAAATAATGTATAGGTCAGGTCTGAGATGGTGGATGAGACAGAAAGCAAAAATAAAAGTGAAGGAAATGGATGGATATGCACATTTAATAAGGAAAAATTACTAATATATATGAATGTGAGCAGGTGGCAGTCGTGGCCAGGAGGGCCTTTGTGCAACAGCGGATTGTGCTCCCTTTCCTGGATCAACAATTCCTATTCACTGTCATTCATGCCCTAGTCACCTCCTGTCTTGACTATTCTAACACACTCTACATGGGGCTGCCCTTGAAAAGCATCCAGAATTTTGGTCCAAAATGCAGTGGCTCACATGTATTGTGTAGACTTCGATGTGCACCTGTGTCAGCTCTGCTGTGGGAGCTGCATTGGTTTCTGATTTGCTTCCAGGTGCATATAAGGTGTTGGTTGTCACCTTTAAAGCCCTTCACAACCTGGGACCAGGTTATCTGAGGGACCGTCTCTTGCCGATCACATCCACAGGACACACTAGAGTGGGGAGCCAAAGAATGTTGTGGATCCTGTCCCCTAAGGAAGTACATCTGGCAGAACCCAGAAGAAATGCCTTCTCAGAGATGGACTCCTTCCTCTGGAACATCATCTCTCCAGAAATTAGAACTGGACTCCACTTTCACAGTCTTTCAGAAGGTCCTTAAGATGTGGTTTTGCCAGTGGGCCTGGGGAACCCTGAGGGCGATGGAGCACATCAAATGGCATTTTTTAAATTGTGTGCTGTCGCCTGAGTGGGTGGGGGTTATTGCTTTTCATTTTTTCAATTTTTTTCAATTTTGTGTTTTTACTGTATATAAGTTGTCTAGAGTCGCTGTGGGAGAGAAGGTAGCTATATAAGTTTTCTTTAAAAAAAAATTAGCCAAATCAATTAGTATATGGCATTACCATTGCTATTCTGGATAGACATCCACCCATTCTCATACTGGGACATTGTGCCACTTTAGAACCTAATCCTGATTCTGTGTAATCACATACCATCAACTAGCTTCCAGAGCTCACACTTTGCTTCCGTCTTTGTTATCCTTTAAATTTGGAACCAAGTTGCTGCTTCTTTGCTGGGCTGCAGTTTAACAGAGCTAATGTATGGTCAGTTTCTCCATAGGTGAGAACTTTAGGCTGATCTCTACCACCCAGCTCTTGGCCTTTCCTCTACTTCTCTATTTCATCATAGTTGTTCCTTTTTTCTTTTATTTATTCCTCCATATCCTGCTGCTCCAATGATGAAACTGCCAGTATTTCATCATCAACTCACAGGAGAATTTTTATGTAACACAGAAAGTTAGTAAGGTATCTCAGACATCCCTTTTCTTATTATAAGGGATTGGATTATGTTTTTTGCCCTTATCAGTAACTTACCTGCATGCATGCATTCTTACACTCAGTAAATTAGATTGGCTCATAGTGATTTCTCCATATTATTTGTGCAAGATTATAGTGAGTCAAACTCCATTAGAAAGATTTACGAGTAAAAATAGTGATGGTGTGGAAATGCTCTATGCCTAACTAATTAGCAAGATTTCCCCCCTCCCCAATTTTCAACAGGCATTAGAGAAAAACTACTTTTAGGTAAATTCCCTGTATAGCAATAGCACGTAGACTTATATACTGCTTCATAGTGCTTTACAGCCCTCTCTAAGCGGTTTACAGAGTCAGTATATTACCCCCAACAATCTGGGTCCTCATTTTATCCACCTCAGAAGGATGGAAGGCTGAGTCAACCTTGAGCCTGGTAAGATTTGATCTGCCAAACTGCTGGCAGCTGGTGATCAGCAGAAGTAGCCTGAAGTACTGCCCTCTAACCACTGTGCCACCATGGCTCATATGTTAATGGTTTGCAATCAATTGTATGAAAGATATAGTTTTGATTCTTGGTTGAGAGAATAAAATTTAATGGAATTTTATGAGCTGAACATGGTGTTATTACTCTTATTTTAATATATGTAGCCAAAGTGTATATACCTTTGAGAATGAGTTGATTTGTACAATTATCTTTCAATAATTGCAATGATCGTCTGCAGACTTTCTAGTTTTCCACTAAATCCTAACAGAAAACATTGAGTTTTGGAGGCTGCGGAATATGGGTAGCCAGGGAAGCATCATACAATCCCAGAATGTTAAGTATTAGAAAAGTCTTGGAGATAATCTAAACAAACCTCCTGCACTCTTCAGAATTCTGTACTACAATATTCATGATAAATGTTTATCAAGCTTCCATTTAAACATTTCCAGTGAAAGAGAGTTCACCACCTTTCAAAACATTTTGTTCCACTGCTGAACAGCTCTTAGTTACTTATGTAAGATCAGAGTCTTCCTGATATTCAATTAAAATCTGGTTCCTTATAATTTAAGACCATTGTTTCTTGTCCTGTCTTTTGGAACAATTCTAAATGTTTTCAGCCATCTTCTACAAGATAGCCCTTCAAATACTTAAAGAAATAACACATTTTTTTTGCAAGAGTAGCTTCTTCAGGCTAAACATAGCACACATCTCAAACCATTCCTTTCAGTTTTTTATTATTCTACCACGTTTCTCCGAAAATAAGACCCTGTCTTATATTTTTGTGAACCCCAAAATAAGCATTTGGCCTTATTTTGGGGGGAGGTCTTATTATTTTGGGGCGCATGGAGCAAGACGGGGCTCCTTTTGCCATCTTACCTGTTTTCCACCTCTGTCTCCCTAACCCTAACCAGAAGAATTGGCAGGGACAGGCTGTGCATGTGCTTAAATATTTTCAGGCAGGGCTTATTTTTGGGGAGGGCTTATTTTTGGGAAAACAGGGTAGCTACTCCCTTCTGAAGAGTCTCCAGTCTATCACTCTGCTTCATAAAGGGGGATGCCCAGAACTGGGCACAATGTTCTAGGAAAAGTTAGACAAATATAAAATACAGAATAACAGTGGCTTCAGTTGCTGGAAAGCTGTTCAACAGCAACTATTACAACAATTTTGTTTCAAAAACAAATGAATTAAGCATACTACTCAGAGAAATTCAAACGACATCCACAAGCATTCTGAGAAAAAATAGAAAAAAATATTATTTTAGAAACCAGAAGGCACTGTGATGTTCCTTAAGGATGTGTTTATGGTGATCATTTTTATCTTAAAGTGAAACAACTGATACCAAGAGATCACCAACTTTAGCAGCTGCACCAATTTATTTCTGATTCAGGTATCCATGTAGAATATAAAACAAGTTCTCCATCTTTTAGTTAGGACTGAGTGTTTGTATTTTTATGTTAATTTATTTGTATTCTCTATAGTTTTATATAGTTTTTTCCTTTAATATTATAAGCCACCCAGAGTTACCCTGGGGCAGCCAATAAGTTTAATAAATAAAAATGGACATTTCTTCATTGAGGAGAGGGACTTTTGAAATGAGTCCAGAACTGAGTCCAGAACTTTAGCTGCCTTGTTTAATATGGATGAAATTAACTAAGAACTGGTGGTTTCCTCCTTTAGTTGTGGGACAACAGAATAATGCAATGGGATGTTGGGCTGATTGGATCTGGTGGTTCGCAGACTCAGTAAGACGCTTAGCCTACATTTGACATTTTTGTCTACCTATCAAATCCTTCTGAAGGGCCTGAAATAGGGAGATGTTATTTGATGGTGTTAAAGTCACCTTCACAGGATGAAAGCTGTTCCCAGTAAACTTCTGTAATTGACTGGTGTTGATTTTGTCAATACTGATGGTGTTCAAGTGGTGCTCCAGATGTTTTGGAATTTCACTCAAGGTACAATTATTATTTTGGAGACACAATGGCTCAGCAGTTAAGATGCTAGGCTTGTTGTCTGGAAAGTGGACAGCCCAGGTTCAAAATCTGAGCGGCGCATGATAGCAATAGCACTTAGACTTAAATACCGCTTCACAGTGCTTCACAGCCCTCTCTAAGGAGTTTATAGAGTCAGCATCTTGCCCCCAACAATCTGGGTCCTCATTTTACCGACCTCAGAAGGATGGAAGGCTGAGTCAACCTTTAGCCAGTGAGACCTGAACTGCCAAACTGCTGGCAACTGGTAATCAGCAGAAGTATTTTATTTATTTATTTTATTTCATCAAGCATGTATTAAATAACAGATATAAGTATAAACATAATTATGAATACATGAAATGGATACGAATAAAAGGGAATATTAGGACAGGGATGGTAGGCACACTGGTGTGCTTATGCACACCCCTTAAAGATCTCTTAGGAATGGGGTGAGGTCAACAGTAGACAGTCTAAGGTTAAAATTTTGGGGGTTTGGGGAAGAAACTACAGAGTCAGGTAGTGCATTCCAAGCATTAACAACTCTGTTATTGAAGTCATATTTTCTGCAATCAAATTTGGTGCGGTTTACCACAAGCTTGCATCTATTGTGTGCTCATGTATTGTTGTGGTTGAAGCATTCATTGACAGGTAGGACATTGTAGCAGATAATTTTATGTATTACGCTTAGGTTGGATCAAAGACGGCGAAGTTCTAGGTTGTCTAAGCCCAAAATTTCAAGTCTGGTGGCATAAGGTATTCTGTTGCTGTGGATAGAGGAGTGAAAGACTCTTCTCATTAAATATCTCTGGACTCGTTTGATTGTAATTAATGCATTCTAGCCATTGTATTAACTGCATTCTAACCATTGCGCCACCCCAGTGACAAGTTCCCATCTTCACCCTATCTCCTGCCAAGTTAGCAGTTTGAAAGCATACAAATGCTTGTAGATAAACATGTACCACTTTGATGAGAAAGTCCATGATGTCATGCTGGCCACATGACTGCGGAAATGTTTTTGGACAGTGCTGGCTCAATGGCTTTGAAA